AGAGGAGGAGAAGTCAGATGAGATGGGGTGGGATGGGCATACACCAAGTGATGTCAATACTCAAAGTGTGTGTAGTCTTTGTCTAAGTTACATAACATGAAAGGCATCTCAGAAGTAATTCCTAGAAGTCCAATTATAAATTAGGTACCTCTCTGTGATGGGGTTGAACCAGAACCTCACACACTAAGTGAATGTTTTATCACTAAGCTATGCCTTTGGGACGCAAATTACAATGAGAAATCCTAAGAAATCAACTTGACACTCATTCCTGCTTTTATGACTTGGCTTCCAGACAAGGAAGGCTCTTTTCTAAGATGTTTAAAACCTGTATATTCTTGCATATTAATTTTTCAACCATTGTGTAGTTGATCTGGATAAATTCTTTCAATTCTGAAAAAAAGCCTCTATTATATCTTCTTTTTGGCTTCTTATTGGAAATAGTTTTTTTCTCTTACATAATATATCCTGATTATGATTCCCTGTCCTCTACTCCTTCCAGTTTCTCTCTACCTCCCCTCCCATCTGGATCCACTCCCATCTGGATGGTTAGAAAACAGACAGGCTTCAAAGGGATAATAGAAAACAAAATAAAGTATGATAGGAAAAAACGAAAGCCATCACACCAGAATTGGACAAGACATACAAAGAGTAGGAAGAGAGTCAAGGAATGGCTCAAGAACCAAATATTCACTCATTCACACACTTAAGAACCCCATAAGAACACTCAACTGAAAGCCATAACATAATAAATTCGTAGAGAACATGGTGCAGGCCTGGGCAGGCCCTGTGCCTCCTGCCTCAGTATCTGTGAATTTATGTGAGTTTTGATCATATTGATTTAGAGGGTCTTGTTTTCATGGTATCCCCCATACCCTCTGGGTCATATATTCTTTCTGGTTCCTCTTCCACATGGGTTCCCTGATCCCTGAAGAGAGGGATTGATGGAGGCATCCTGTTAAGGACTGATATCCCAATGTCTCTCACTCTCTGAATAATATCTGGCTGTTGTCTATTTTTAAAAATATGCCCTTCTGTTTTCTCTATATTTCATTTTTGAATTCTACTGATCAGATGTTGAACTTTCCAAAAACAATTTAGTTAATGTCTCAAAATTTTCTCTTCAAATGTCTATGATCTTAAGATTTTTGTCTGTTCAGTTGGTTGATCAGTTGATTGATTATTATTAGCTGATGAGTTAGGCAATTGGTTGGTTGGTTAGTTGGCCATTTATTTGGCTACTGGTTGGGTAGGTGAGTGATTTTGTTGCTTGAATTCCTCTTTTTCTTTCTGGTTTTTGATCTAGTCTTTTGGAAATGTTATTGACTTAATCCTTCAAAGAGTCTACCACAGTTTGACCATTAGCTTTCATATCTGGTTTCTCTTTCACAGCAACACATTCCTCTACTGTGGATACCATAACTTCTCCCATATTGCTGAGGTTATTAACTGCAGAGTATCTCTACTTCCTCTTTGCTTCCCTCTTGTATACTGGCAGTTCTTCTCAAACTTCTGGTGACCTCCTCCTGCCCATGTATCTAGACAAGAACTGAAAAGCATGACTGGATGAAGTCAACTACAAGAATATGGTGCTGTGGGTAGCATGTCTGTACATAGATGAAACTTTTCAAATGTCATTTCATGGTGGAAATCCCCCTCCCAACAAAGACAAGAGATGAAAAGTAGTAGGGGCATTCCACTACCAAAAGAAAACTCTTTCTATGCCTTGCTTTCAGGATACCCCCAGTGCTAGTAGTGAGGTGTGGATGGGAGGGCTTGCTATTCAGACTCCAACTTTTCCCCCTTATGCTTCCTCCCCAAGTCCAAGGTCATCTATCTAAACATGGAGATTTATCTCCAGTCCCTCCTCATAGGAAGAGCAGGAACAGGGTGCTCATCTCTCCTTTACATGAGAATTGGAGATTTGAGAATCCTACAGCTCATATACAAAATTTCAGCTGATTCTCCAACTTGTCTTCATCCTGTCACTACCATCTGAAACTCCTGGGTCTCCAAGTCAAAAGCTCCTGCCAGTACTTTAGAGTCACTGGGGTCTGTTTTGTCCTTTCAGAACTGCCCCCTCCACCCTGTCCTTTTCATAGTCTTATTTTAGACTCCAAATATAATAGTTGGGGGCATTGCTTACATGGTCAACCCTTTTCCAGTTTTGTCTGACCTTCAACAGTTAACTGAGCAGTCCTCTCTTGATTCACATAGTTTCCTGAGTTGCAGTACATGTTCTAAATGTCTTCTGAGAAGTTCTATTGATTTTACCCCCTTTGTGGCACCAAGTCTGTTAAAAACTAAATCAACTTTTTCTCTGTCTTCTTATGAATCTCATTTATGCTACTGTCTCCACCAAGTTCTCAGACATCTGGACTCATATTAGCATCAATATCTGCCACATCTTTGCACTTACTTCAGCTACTCTTAGTGGGTTCTCATATGTGTCCGCCTCTGTACTTAGCTAAGACAGTCCTGAAAACTGCTGGTCTTGTTAATGGAAAACGTTATGCATGATAGGAAAATGTAGCTATTTCTAAATTTCAAGTGGATTCTATCAAACACTGACACAAAATCCGTAGTTAGAACCTAAACATTCCTGGCAATAACTGAAAGTGGAAAGGAAGGGCTTGCCCACCGTGTGGATGGCTGCCTGCTTTTGTCTTCCATGCTTCATCTCTCTGTTTTTTCATTCACTTTTATAATTGCTCTTTATTGTTTACTTTAATTTTTTTAAATTTTTGTGTGGTATGTTACATGCATGTATGTGGTGCATGTACATATGTGTAGTGGTGTATACACCGGTGTGGTGTGTTATATGCAATGTGTGGTGCATGTACAAATGTGTGCTGGTGTATACACTGGTATGGTATGTTGCATGTATGTGGTGCATGTACACAGGTGTAATGGTGTATACACCAGTGTGGTATGTCATATGCATATGTGTGGTGCATGTACAAATGTGTGCTGGTGTATCTACCAGTGTGGTCTGTTAATATGCATGTGTGCAGTGCATGTATGCATGTATGGTGGTATGTACATATGGTGTACATACTGCTGCATGCACATGTGGAGGCCATAAGAAGATGTAATCTGGCTTAATCTATCAACCTTGATCTCATTTATTTCATGTAGAGTTTCATGCATGCATATAATGTGTATTGATTAAATCCACTTTCCATTTTATTCCCCTTCAACTCTTCCTCTAGCCTGGATCACTTTTCAGCCTCAGCTTCATGTGCTTTTTTGTTCAAATGCAGTGTCCACTTAGTGATGTTTATATAGATTGTGGACAATCTACTGGAGTGTGGATTGCTTCTCTGGGGCTGGAGGTCTGAAGAAAACTGACTCTCCCTAAAATTAAAAATAAAATGACAACAGATGCTCATGTGGATGTGGAGGAAAGGAACCCAATTATCGCAATTGGTGCAGCATTATGGAGATAGATATGAAGAAAACTCAGGAAGTTAAATTTGATCTCCCATATGACCTAGCTATGTCACTCTTTGTCATACACCAGAAGGATTCTGTACCCTTCTACAGACATAAGTTTCTGTGCTGTGTCCTTCATTCATCTGTTCATAAGAGCCACAAAATAGAAACTGCCTAGATGTCTTCAACTGACGAATAGATAAAGAAAACATGGTATATATATACACAGTGTAATATTCTTCAGCTGTAAAGGAAAATGAATTGAGGTAGGATCTCTCCCTGAACTGGAAGCACGTGGTTTTAGTCTGGCCAGCCAGTGAACTCCCAGGGCCTGGCCATCATCTGCTACCTCAAATGCTGGGGGTAAACTTACACATGGCCATGTTCTGGTTTTAAGGGGATCCTGAGGATTTAAACTTGGGTCCTTTGCCTTCACAGCAAATGCTAAGGAATCTCCCCACCCTTTCTTGACCTTTCTTATTTAAGATTTCTAGTCTTCAATTCTCTATTAGCTGCAGATATCAGAAACACAACATAGAAAAATCATAAAAATGATAAGATCCTATCTTCAAATCATTTAACAACAGTAATTTAAATTAAATAAAGAGATGGTTTTGTCTTAATTTTTTTTTCCTGAATCATAGTTTCAGTCAAATATACCTTTTGAAATTTATCTGTACTTCTGCATTGGGGAGCCTGAGGCAGGAATTTCCACAAATTTGATGTTCTCCTGGGCTATAGTGTGAGACCTTGTTTTATACAAAACAGGGGGTAGAAAGTTCCCTTTAACAAAGACTGGTATGTGGAGAGAGTGAAAATTAAAACCTGTTGCAGTATCTTCTATAATCACCAAGACTGTTTGTGACCAGGAGCTGTTATGATGCTAACAGAACAGTATTTTATTGAAATCTCACAACTTCTCTAGAATCTTAGCTTTATTGCCAGGACTTAGATGTCAAGAGAGTGACAATAAGCTTAAGCAACAAGCACAAGACCCAGGACTGTGGGATAATGCTCTTTATCCTCTTGTACACTGAAACGATTTGTCAGGCATATTAGTTTACTAAAACACTGATTGGCCAGTAGCAGTCAGGAATTATAGCTGGGGTGACGCAACTAAGAGAATTCTGGGAACAGGAAAGGTGGAGACGCAGTCACCAGTCACAGAGGAAGCAAGATGTGAATGCCTCATTGAGAAAAGGTACTAAGAAACATGGTTAAACATAGACAAGAGTTATGGGTTAATTTAAGTTGTAGGAGTAAGTTAATAAGAATCCTGGGCTAATAGGCCAGGCAGATTATAATTAATATAAATCTCTGTGTGTTTATTTTGGACTGAATGACTTCAGGACTGGGCAGGACAAAAACTTCTGGCTATAGCTCAGTAAGGAGTGAACTGAGAAAAATGGAGTAAACTCAGCCCTTTGGAGCTTAAGCCTGGGGTGGCTGTACCCCAAGGTTTGCTGCTCTCTGAGTATCAGAAGAATGTTCCAGAAGCATCGCCAAAGGCATAAGTAAGGTTGTGACTTGTTAGCATGTTTCCTCTTTTTGTTTTGCTTTCTCTGCAGTTGCTGGTAACAGTTGTGCAGCCTTGTCTGTGGTCATAGCCGGCTTCCTAGAAATACACAGAAAACTCACCTGGGAGCCGTCTCCTTCAGGCACAGGTTTCTCTGTTTCTTCACTGGCCTGTGGCTCTCTGGTTCCTCAGTATGTTCTGCTTGGAGTGTCTGAAGCCCTGGTAAACCCAGCGGGTGAGTAAGGCTGTGAGGGAGTGCTTGAGAGGAGCATGCCCCATGGCCTGTATTCCCAGCAATGCCTGTTTAGAACCTCATTTAAGACAATGTCTCAGTTTTCTTTGTTCTATTATCTATAACCAACATTAATTATGTAGGAGAATGCAAATAAGGTATTTCCACACTAACTCAGAATTGAGTATAATGAGGGGTTCTTTATTTAGGGGGAGCTCACAGATCACAGTCATCTGCATGAACAGGGAATAAGAACCAAATCCAGCATCCATGCAAGAGAGTAGAGAAAGCCAGTGCATGAGTGCACCACACTTTTTGGTGCCCAAGGCCACACCCAACCGGGTCAAGCTTCTCAAAAGTCACTGGCTGAAGGAGGTTCCTCATCACCTCCCTCTTTTGTCTAAATAAGAGAGTTCCAATCCCAATACAAAACTATATACAATAAGAACAGATATCAAAACTACATACAATAACATATATCAAGTATAAAAATTAGAGTTACAACCAGCATAAACAATATTAAGCAGGAAACATATGCTAAATGTTTTAATTCTATCCTAAGGAGTCTTATATTAGAAATGGCTTGGCTAAGTAATGAGAGGAAAGTAACTATAACTATTTAGTCTTCAACCCCATTCAAGACCTGAGAAGGGAGATAATATTACTTTAGTAGGCAGGAAGTACAATTATGCAGCTTTTAAAATGTGCAATAAATGAAAGAGGCAACTGGATACCTGGGCAATCACCCAAAATCTCATTTGCAACATTGGGGCAACCAACTTTGGCTAAGGCCTAGAGTAACTGACAGATCATTTTTAGAGTCAGAAAAAAAAATTAAAACTATCTTACCTTGTTTTGGCAAGGTTTGGCAGTCTTTTTCTTGTATCCTGTTTGTCCAGTCTGGACACCACATATTTTGTCAATGGTTGAGGCATGGGCAGATCCTTGCCCAAAGGCCAGTTTTTCTAAGAAAAAAAAACAAGCTTCAACTGGAGTGTCTTTAGTGTTCAACATTCTCTCAGGAATAGATCAGTGCTGCCAGAAGCATTTGTGTCTCTCGTAAACAGAATTCTAAGTTGTTTAAATGCCATGTTCTACAGATCTTTGAAGTATTTAAAAATTACCTATTTATGCAAAATATAATCCCTATATATCTAAAGAACTTGATTAGTCTAACTATAAGTATAACAAACTTGGATGACTATTGACCTATAATTTTTAATACCTATACAGCTCCAAGACTAAGACTTCATATTAGAACATTAAACAATCTTTAAACAACTGTGCAGTAAATGAGGGCACTGACCTCAAAATGTAAAAATTGTATAAATATATTGATCAGATTTAGAAATATGATGTGATAAATATATCCTAAAATTGTATCAATATACAAAATGTCTTAAGCAGAGGTATGAACATGCATGCATAAAATATGACAAAATAAGTTTGCATAGGTGTACAAATATTGTAAACAGAAATAGCATGCTCAATATATGAAATATAATTTGAATTTGTATTAATATNGTGTGAGTAAACTCACACTAATCTACCTATTATTAGTGTGAGTAAACTCACACTAATCTACCTATTATTAGTGTGAGTAAACTCACACTAATCTACCTATTATCACATTCAATTTTCCCTGTTTTTAAGTGAGATATCTGAGCTTACAAAATTTCCACCCCAACACCAACCCCATTTTAGTTATAATCAACCCCTAATTGATGTCCCTAACCCTGAGGACAAACTTTGTTGGTAGAAGGGCTATTGTCTTCTAGAATTACCTGGGGCGATGTTTTTTTCTATGGTATTTTGTAAAACTAAAATGATGGTTAAGCTTCAAGATTACTGGCTGGTATAATTGCAAACAGTTTCTGAGTAATCAATAGGGCTTTTCTGAAGTTCTTATTTAAAGTATCTTAGACGGCTAACCATTCCACACCTTGCAGGGAAACGTGAATAAGATAATCTCACACTAACTCAAAATTGAGTATAATAAGGGATTCTTTATTTAGTGGGGACTCACAGATCATAGTCCTCTGCATGAATGATATCAGGAACCAAATCCAGCATCCAGGTGAGAGAGGAGAAAGAGAGCAAGCACATGAGCACACACCTTTTTGGTACCCAAGGCCAAGCCCAACCTGGTCTAGCCTCTCAAAGACCATTGGCTGAAGGAGGTTCTCCAGCATAATTCTATTAGATATAAAGGAACTTGCAACCTTATTAGAGCCAAGACCATTTGGTGAGACAGAAATATATCTGGAAGACAATGAACTGGAGCACACTGAGTTAAAACCCATTCTTTAGCCTCAGACTTCTCCCTCTAACACAAAGGCACTCACATGCACACACTCCCAAAATTGGAGCATGGACTTTGAAAGCACATAAACATGCAAATGAAATGAAAATTTGATGCAATTTACCTAATAACTTGATGCCTTCAAATTAAATTACCCTAGATTAAGTGTAATCACCAGTATTTCATAAGACATATTTAAATTATGTTTATTAAATATCAGAAGTTTCTAGATTATCTCAATCGCTTATATTGATTAGGCTAGCCACTTTATACTTTATCACAAGAATTTGAGAACTTCCTGAGATGTTGTCAGTGTGTTTGTGTGTATACACACTTATCAGAATAACCTAGCAAGCCTATGTCGGGTTTTGATCTTCTCACGGTTCCCTGGAATGTGATAGCTACTTGTAACTCAATCCACATTACACTTCACTGGGAGTATTTTACGTGATTAACAAAAGAAAATAGATTGCTTGCTAATTTCCATGTATGAGTATTTTGCCCATGCGTATTGTGCATGCATTGCCTTTGGGGCCAGAAGAGTATCTGATTCACTAGAACTGGAGCTGCAAGTGACTGTAAGCCATCCTGTGGGTGCGGGAATCTAACCCAGGTCTTATAGTAAAAACAGATAGAGCTCTTAACCATTGAGGCACCTCCCTGGTCCCTTTAACTGTCTCCACATATCCAATGTCTCCTGTTTTCCACCACCTTTGCGAAATCATCCTAAATGAAAATTCTAATCATTTCACTTGTATCTAAAACCCTCAATGAGTCTATTATAGTCTGAATTATTTCAAACTTTTTATGTACATATTTAATAACTTTATGCCCTCACACAATGTGCACATAGATAAAACCAGAGCAATTAATTTAAATAAATGAAATAAATGAATGAAATTTGTCTAATCATAGCCTCAAACATATTCACATTTCTTCTCATTCTGTTAAAACCTTTGATTCACATGTTCCATCTGAATCAGCTATTAGAGTCTGTGATGGGAAGGTCACTGTAAGCCCAGCAAAGAATAAATAAGAATTGTAAACAAATGCTGCCACATTGGCATTTGTCATCAGCCCAGTGTTGTTTGTAGGAAGGTCTTGAAAATAGGTAAAATTCTCTGGGCTTCCTGTAAAGAATGAGGACGTGTAGGAAATTCCTAGCCTGCTCAGCAAAGTGATTAGACATTTAGAAGCCAAAGAGATCATTAAAACCATGAATTATTAAAAATGATGGATTGTGTAATGTAATCCCTAATCTAACCATTTAGAATAACTATCACGAAACCAAGTCTACCTGTTTACTATAGACAGAGTTTGTGTATCAGAGACCACAGACTTCGGTCTCATGACCAGTCTTCTACCTGCTACATGAGGGACTCATTTAATCTCTAAGCTTCAACTTTCTAATCTTAAAAAATAGAAAGAATAATCATTATTCCTTATATCACAGCATTGGGGTGAATGGGAATGGGAATGGGACACCATTCTTCAAAAACCAACTTATATAAAGTGTGAATGGGTCTGTTGGTCTGTAAAATCAAGTTACGCCAGACAGGCAGGGCAGCGCGGCCATTCAACTTTCTGATCTTAAACCTGGACTGGCCTGAGTGTAGCACGAATTCTAATTGTTCTTAATAACAAAGTCCTGGAGACAGATATTAAGGGGTAAAATTTGAGAGATTAGAGAAGCAGAGCAGTTAGTCACTAGAAACACTTTGCCTCTACCACATCCTCAGACCAAATGGGCAGTCCTGTCCTCAGACTGTCTCCTCTGACTGCAACTGTCTCCACCAAACCTCAGACTGCACTGAGCTCCCATTTCCTTTCATCTTATATTCCTCTCTCTGCCCAGCCATATCACTCCTGTCTTCACCTCCCTAGTGCTGGGATTAAAGGTGGGATCCCAAGTGCTGGGATCACCTTTGTGTGAACTCTGTTTCTCTTTTAGACAGATTTAATCACCTGTAGGCTGAGGTGGCCTTGAACTCACAAAGATCCCTCTGCCTCTCTCTCACAAATCCTGGGATTAGAGGTATGCTCCACCATTCCCTGACCTCTAGTGGCTTAGCTCTGCACTCTGTTCTTCCGGCAAGCTTTATTTGTTAAAACACAAAGAAAATATCACTGCACCTGAGTTCAGACCCTGTTCTGCTACTGACTACCGGGCAATGCTGGGCTTCTCTCATCATCTAGAGGAGTTAGCCCAAGAACCTAAAGAAGTATTTTTTATTTTTATTTATTTATTTATTCATTTATTTATTAAGGATTTCTGTCTCTTCCCCGCCACCGTCTCCCATTCCCCCCTCCCCCAATCAAGTCCCCCTCCCTAGGGAAGTATTTTATACAAAGCAAAACACTGAGTATTTTGTACATAGACAACGCTTTACAATCAGCAACATCGCGTGAGTTTGTTTTCTTCGCTGCTATTTGCGTAAAATTAGTAGTGCCATTCTCAGGACTCAACACAGGTCCTTGAGTCACAAACAAATTAAACACCTAAGGATGTGAGCAGAACTGCCTTTCTCCCATGAGCCACTCAGGATCCCTCTCTATTCTTTTCTTCCATGATGCCTACAACCCAACAGCAAGAATTAGAATGTTCGGAATATGACCTAGCTCTGGCCACACTTATTTCATCCAGACCTCTGAACTTATACCTCCTCCTGCTCCTGCCGCATTAGTCCATTCTCTCTCTCCC